TTTTTTTTTTTTTGTTTTTTTTTGTTTTTTTTTTGTTTTACTTTTTAAACAACATGGTACATATTAAAGCACCTGTTCTTAAATGACTGAAAAGTTAGAGGGGACCTTCAGAGAGTCTGTATTGTGAGTTGACTGAGACTCAGGATTGTTTTCAATTCAGGTGACATTGGGAAAATATTATTTTCTAGTTTAGTCAAGTTCTGGTAAGCCATTGAAATATCTTTGTGTGTGTGTGTGTGTGTGTGTGTGTGTGTGTGTGTGTGTTGGGAGGCGGAGAGTGCCAGCAGTGGAGGGGGAAGAGAGAACCTTAAGCAGGCACCATGCTCAGTGCAGAGCCTAGCACAGACCCCGGGATCATGACCTGAGCTAAAAACAGGAGTCAGATGCTCAACTGACTGGGCCACCCAGGCACCCTGACATTTCTTAATTATTAAATGACATTCAAAAGACTCTCTGAACCTTCCCAAATCTGGGAGACGTTGGCTATGGCTCTATTTGGACAAAGTCTATCAGTCAGTTGTATGTGCATATATTTCCATTAAACATTGCATGTGTATGTATAAACGTATGTATATACATGTTTATATGCCACCTCTATTAAGATGATACAGCTGGTGGTTTGGATCTGTGCATTTGGGTTTAAAACAATCAAAACTACTACTTGGTAGGTTGTATTAGGAACAAGAGTCTTTCAGAAGTTGATTAAAAATGTTTCTAGGATTTTGAAACTTTGCTTTTGGCCTTGTAGAGGGAATAGAAGTTTATTAAACCAAAGATTTATAATTTGAAGAGAGCTTTTTTTTTTGCCCCTCAGCATACTAACAAGGAACTGAGATCAAGGGTACTAGCGCCTTATGTAACTATTGATTTATGTATGACCAGAGTTTTTAAAAGAAATATTGCTCTAAGAAAACTTAGGTGGCCATGGTAGTGGTGGAGGCATAAAGCCCTGGCAGTTAAGTTGTAAAATACACTTTACAGATCAACTCTGCTCTTTTGCTGTCTAAAAAAATGTGTTCCCAGGTCTTATGTACGAAGTAAAAACTCCTGCCGTTAAGCTTACTTCGGGTTCCAAATATCTAAGGAAAGAAACTCATTAAGAATGGTTAATCTGGCTTAGCTGAATAACTAAAATGACAAATACAAGAAAAGTAAGACAAACACTGTCAAATACAAGGCGAACACTGGCCATGCTTCTTCAGATTCATGGTGATGGTGGGCTAGGAGTGGGAGTTCCTCTGCTGATACATTTGAACAAAGTCTGGCACAGCCTTCTGCATAGTTGGAGAAGTTTCTCAAGTTTTCTGCGGTAGAGGACACTGCCTAAAATGACTTGTTCCTCGATAGGGTTCACTGCCCATTGAAACTGTATTATAAACTGGCAGCCAGTATAAATCTCCTCTAGGAAGGAAATGGGTTGTCCCACTAATAAAAAGCATTGCAGAGTTTGGATACTAATATATATCCTTATTAATGTGTTGGCGTTCTAATTCAGGTTTCACTCTTAGTTTGGCTAATGTAAGTTAGTCAACATAAATGTGATAATGTCAGATGAATTTCAAAGAAAGCTGTTTTGTGGATTTGTATGTGTTGATCTTAAGGAGAGTAGATTTTTGTGGTTAAGTTGGGTTGCTTTCTTGCCACTTGGAAAATTAATGGAAGTCCAGTTTTAGAAACTGAGACTCCATGGTGTGTGTGTGTGTGTGTGTGTGTGTGTGTGTGTGTGTTGTCTGCTTTTTTTAAATTGAGGTATAATCGACATATTAGTTTCAGGTGTACAACGTAGTGATTCGGTATTTGTATATATGTTTTTGTGTTCTATTTACTTTTTAAATCCTTCTTTTTCATCATGATGAATCCCCTTCACCTATTTCAGCCATTCTTCCCTCCCAACTCCCCTCAGGTAATAATCAGTTGGTTTTGTAGAATTAAGAGTTGTTTTTTGGTTTGTCTTTTTTCCCTTGTTTTGTTAAATTCCACATATGACTAAAGTCATGTGGTGTTTGCCCTTCTCTGACTAACTTATTTATACTCTCTTGATTTATCCATGTTTTTGCAAATGGAAAGATTACATTCTTCTTTATGGCTAATATTCCACTGCATGTATGTACCACTTCTTTATCCATTTGTCAGTTGATGGACGCTTGGACTGCTTCCATAGTTTGGCTGCTGTAAA